TTTTCTTTCTGATTTAGTCAGTAGGTGTGATACTTTATTGTGATTTTAACTTATATTTTCCTGATTGCTAACAATATTGAACAATTTTTTAATGTTTCTTGACCATTTAGTAATTCTGTTCTAAAGCACTTATTAAGGTTTTTTGAATGGAACAGTTAGTTGTCTTAGTTTTCTTAGGGTTCTTTGTAATTATTTTGGAACTAAGCCACTTGTTGAATATATGTACACTCTTTGTACCTTATTATCCCCATCTGTAAATTGTGGTAGCATCATCTACCTCTTAAAGCTGTTAGGAAAGTAAAATGATTAAATGTGTTATATATAGCACTTAGGAAAATGTCTTGTTAAAGACATTACACAGTGCTATTCTTAGTCTCCTATAGTTGATACTTATCTCCAAGATTGATGCAACATAGAGAAACAAGGCTTATTGTCCTAGTCCATTTTGTGTTTCTGTAACCATTTGGGTAGTTTATAAAGAAAATTTCTCATAGTTCTGAAGGATGGAAAACCTGGTATTAAGGTGCCAGCAACAGGTAAAGGCTTTCTTGCTCTGTCATCCCATGGTAGAAACCAAGAAGGTGACAGGACAGGAGAGAACAAGAGAAAGGAGACAAACTTTCCATTAATCAGGAGCCCACTCCTGCAGTAATGGAACTCACCCACTGTTTACCCCTTACGGTGTCACCTCTCAGCACTTCCACTGAGTGTTCAGTTTCCGACACTTTGGGGAACACATTCTAACCATAGCAGTTGTGTGAATTTGCAAAGCTAGATACAGTATTTATCCATTTACTGGTGTTAAAACAGGTGAATATCTCAATAGGAAATAGAATGGGATAGTTTTTCTCTTTTAAAACTATAGGGCAGTAAATACAGGATAGAAGTTTTTAAACCGGCCATAAAGCATTTGTGTTCAGCTAGTACTGTTAATGTTGTATACCAGTTATCCATATGGCTGTGACCTGAGAGGCCCCACAGGATGAATTTCTTGTTGTACAATCTGCTCTTAGTTTGCAAATCAGAAACCTCATTATTTCATGATAAATAAGACCAAAATCGTGTTTCAAAGATTCCAGTAATCAAATTTAAGAAAATGATAATGTAAAAGTCATAGTGTAAAGTTTAAACCATTGTGAAGACCAGTACTAGTGGTAGCTGGTTTAGCACATTCCCCGCATAAAATAGATCTTCGTCGTATACTAGATCATCATTAAAAGCTTAGTGTGCATAAATATTCAGTAGACTAATTATACTTTGACTATTTAATTACACACAGTAGGGCTAACTTGACGGATCTTTTTCTACAGCATAGGAACACACTTACCAAAAGGAACAGACTAATGCCTTGCTGGTCTTGAGTCTTAAGATTTTAACTTACTGGTAAGCAAGTTAACCTGCCAGGGTTTTGAATTCTGCCAGAAGTTACAAGACGGCTGGATCAGATGCTTAAGACTTTGTTAATACACAGCACAGTATAGTAGAATGAGTTTCATGTTTGTGTTGGTCCCTGATCCCATGAGGGTGATGATCATGTACGTACTGGGTGTGCATCACTGCATTGGAGCCCAGAGTGTCCTGAAGGCAAGTATTGTATACTGCCTGGTTTTCATTGTGAACAGAGATAGTCGTCTTTGTTATTCTGGCTTGCCTATCTTCCTACAGGGAAACTTGTACCTTTCAAGTATATCACTATACATATATCCTTGAAGAGAGAATCTGAAACAAAGACAGACATTGCCTACACTCTGTAGATTTGCAGAAATGAGACACACAGAGAATTGTCAGTGCTAGCTTAGATTTTTCTATCTACTAATGCTTATATAGATAGACATTGTCAGTATTGACCTTTGACTCACTTTTGTATGCTACTGTGGGCAGTTGAAATCCTTTGGATGGATAGATAATTGATTCAAAATGCTAATATACTCAGATTTTAGTTGAGTCTTAAAGACGTAGAATTCATTCCAGCCTTTTTTTTTTAAACTTTCAAATTCCTGGGGCTCATTTCACTACAGATAAATAAGGTAGTGTGTATGAGTAAACACATGATCAAAGGTTTATGACATATTTAGTACATAACTCTTAAAAAAACTACAAATTAAAAACTATCCTCTTGTATTCAAGACTATCCCTCTTACCTTCATCCTAAAGGTAACTACTACCTTGAATTCTATTTGCTTAGTATAATTGTACTCTTCTTGATTTCTGTGACTTCTGTTGGTGGATTTCTTCTGTTAGTTGTTTCTAGGTTCTTACTGCTAGGAATAGTGCTAGTCCAGACTTTGTCTGTAGTTATTTGTGTGCATTAATTTCTTTAGGAACTTTTGGTTTCATTTGGTGTCACTTAGTGTGGGGTTTTGGTGTCATGGTGCTATGAAAGGCTGTAAACAAATTAGCCTATATGATGTGTTGCATATATACAGGGAATACATATTGAGCATTTGAAAGATAGAAATAGCTGTGATGGTTCTTTACAGCTTGATTTAACTACATGCTCTTAATAAAACCACCTCGCTAAGTAATAAAATTTTCAATGTCGTGTCTTTGCATATTTTGAGTACAAATTATTTTTTAAGTTTTATTTATAGCTAATACTTCCTAGTTTGTGATCGTTTCTGCTGTCTTTATGGTACTTCTTTATGGTACAGATATTCTAGACTACTGCAGTTGGAATTACTCTTTTCCTAGTGTTATTTTACAAAATTTTCCCTGTCCTTGTCTCCAGGATTTTTCTCCCTGTTCTGAAAGTTTTCAAATTTTGTCTTTAATCCACTTTAAACTGTTTCTACAATAGAGATCTAATTTTATTTTTTTCTGTGCAGATAATGCATTGTTAGCACCATTTGTTAGAGCCTTTCCCCTATTCGTGTGCTGTGCTGTATTGATCATATATCAAGTCTCCTACAGCAAGACCCGTATATGTTTGGGTCTGTTTCTGATCTCTGATCTCTTGGTCTTTGTCTATTACAACACCAATGGCACAGTGTCTTCTTCATCACAGAATAATTGTAGCTCTATAGTAAGTCGAGGCAGGTACAGCTAGTATACTTTTCCTCTTGATTCTTTTTTTGGCTGCTTGACTTTCTATAAAATTTAGAATTACCTTGTCATGTTTGATGAAAAAAGTCCTTAAATGGTTTAAATATGAATCACACTGACTCTGTGTATTAGCATTGGGAATACTTTAGTCAGTCTTGTCCATGAATATGATATATCTCTATTTAGTTCTATTCCTCTTAAGAAAACTCTGCATTTTTTTCATGAAAAGATATTATACATCTTTTATAAGGTTTGTTCCTTCTGTTTGTATCTATTTTATTGTGATTCTCATTGTAAATGGGATCTTTTTAAAATTCTCATTTGTGACCAAATTTGAAGAAACACCTCTATTGGCTTAATTCTCCTAAATAGCATGGAAATACACCACATTTCAAGTATGTCAGAAAGCAGTAGTTAATTGGAATGTACATTATAAAACCACTGTTTAGTAAGTATAAAACAGTATTGTCCCATTTGTTTCCTTATTTATGTATCATGTGAAAGGATTAATATAAACTATTCGCTTACGTAGTTTTTAAAGTTTGTTGGTTTTTTTTTAAGTGGTATGTGTGACATTTCTGAAACAATGAAATTCAGATAAGTCAGTGTTTTAAAAGTAAAGTTTCAGGTATATATATTTACTGTATAACTTGAGATTGTTGTATTTCATCAGGAAATAAACTCCCTTTCTACTTCCTTTTCAATAATGCTCTTTTATTTTTATTGTTTTTGTACTTGACCATATATTTAGCTCATTCTGTATGTACTTTGAACCCAGTTTCCTTCGTGAAGCCTTCCCAGACCATTTACTCTATAATGATTTGTTCCCCTATTCCTCAATTCTTACATGTCCTAATCATAGACAGGGGATCCATAATGTATCACTAAGTGTAAAAGCAAGGCATACTTCAAATGTCTCATTTGTATTTAAAACTTTAAAGATTACCATATATGCTTATGCATGTTTGCATTATGTATGTTTAAATTTTTGCACCAAAATTTATTTATAATAGTTATATGAGCACTGAAGGTCTGAAAGGAAGATTTTATACTATATGCATTTTTATACTATTTGAAAATTTTATCATGTACATGTAGTACTTTTTATATTTAAGGCTATAGTTTTATTAAGTATAATGGTAGGATTTGGACCCACATATTCCAGAAAAATAATCAAGAAAACAAGATTACTAAAATATTGATAATTATTGGAGCTAGATGATAGACACATGGAAATTCATTATATTATTCTATTTGTGTATATCTAATTTTTCATTATAAATTCTAAAAATTAAACATCAATAGATTATTTTGTGGTCTAATTCTGAAATGAGCTTCACAATTCAATAAACTAAGAAATGTATCAGATATTACATAATTTATCATGAAACAACCCATTTAAAGTGTACAATTTGGTGAATTTTAGTATATTCACAAGATTGTGTAATCATTCCTGTTGAAATCCCAGACCATTTTTACTGCTCCCCAAACTGTGTACTAATTAGTAGCCATTGAACCTACTTGTTGTCTCTCAGCTTCTGACAGTCACCACTGTGATGGGTATCAGTACTTTTCCCTTTTTGGGGATGAGGAATATGCCACTATATGTAGCTACCACGTTTTATTTACACAATCATTAGTTTATAGACACTTGGCTGTTTGTTGTTTCCGGGGAACATGTTACTTGATAAAGGACCTAACAGGTAAGAATATTACTCAGTGGTAGAGTGCTTGCCTAGCATGTATATGAGGCCTAGGTTTGAGCCCCAGAACTGTAAAAAAAGGAAGAAAAGAAAAACCTAATTTACAAAAAAAAATAAAGTGGAGGGTATGACTCTGTGCTTTTTATAACTTCACAACAGATTATAAAATTTTGGAATACACACTGTATATGGTTTCATTAAAAGTAAGAGATTGCATTCTGTTGTCATTCAATGTGGAAAATGCTTGTGTTCTAGATAACATTCGGTCAGCCAGGTCTAGACGTTCAGAGCAGAAATATGGAATATGTACAGCGGCAAATATCTAAGAACTCCGGAAGCCTAAAGTCCCAAAACAGGGTAAGTAATGTTTTCTGATATAAAATATCATTACTTATCAGATAGGTGAAATTTTGTAGTTCTTCTAATTCTTCATATAGATGAAGGATGACCAGGAAAATTTTCAGTTTCTAACTTAGCTATATATGTGCTTATAAAGCCCTGTTACTTAAACTCCCTCCAAACTTCTCATGTGAGTTTATTTTCCATTAGATGAGACCATTTTATGTTGTTAATTGAATGGACTGTATCCATCACCCCACCTTCAGCCCAGACTTGGAATTTAACCCCACTTCCAACTATTGGGGAATAGAAGATCATCCCAACCTGAGTACTTGTAGACTAGTGTCTGTGTTCAGGAACTGGAACATGGACATAAAAATTTGACTACCAGAAACCTACCTTTGTTGGGTAATGGGGATAGTCAAAAGACTTAATTTTGTTCCTTAGCCTCAAAGAGCCAGTCTGTGGGGGTGGAGTAACGACACACACATGTGTGTTTGTATGGTGCCTTTTAAGTCATATTTCAGAGACTGTCTGCAGAGCCAGGCTATAAACACTTATGTGCTAGTAGTAAATATCTGCTGCAGCTACCATAGCAAAATACCATGGGCTGAGTGACTGTAATAATAAAGTATACTTTCTCATAGTTCTGGATGATAAAAATCCAAGATTGGGGGATGGTAACTATGTTTGGTTTCTTCTGAGCTATTTCTCCTTGGCTTATGGATGGCCACCGTTTCACTGCATGCTCACATGGTTTTTTCCTCTGCCCACCCATCCCTAGTGAATCCCAAATTTCTTTTTTTTCCCAAGTACTCTAGTGAGGCTGGTTAAGGCCTGCCCTGGTGCCTTAAAGACCTTATCTCCAAACAGTCACATTTTGATGTACTGGGAAGAACACAGTTCATGCTACAACATTCTACTCTCTGGGCCCAAAGCTCATGATATTCACACATATGAAATGCATACACTTTCATTCCAGCAGCCCTAGTCTTAACCTATGCCAACTCTATGCTTAGTCCCTGATCTCTCCTAAATAATCATCTCAACTAAGAATGGGTGAGAGTCTAGCTATGATTTGTCTTAAATTTGTAAGGCATATTTTCTCTCCAGCTGTGAACCTGTGAAACCAATTATTGCTTCTAAAATACTGTGGTAGGAAAGGCATACAACATACATTCCCATTTCAAAAGTGAGACATTGAAATGAAGAAGCCATCCTGGGTCTTAAATAAGTCTTAAGACCCTACATGGAAATTTTCACTCGATTTTAAGACTTGAGATAAACCCTATTTGGCTTTATGATCCATCCTCCGGGCTTACTGGGCTGATTGGTCCTGCCCTCCGCTCTGGGTGTGAGCATCACAGCCAAGACCCTGGGCTACCGCACAGTGTCCTTCTGAGACTAAGGAGTTGACCCTGCCCTCTGGGACTTCGAAGAAAGCAGCCTTGCCTTTGGGGCTGTGTCCCGTTTCTTAAAGGCTGGTGAATGCTCACAGTCACATATGTCTCTTGGCACATCCTGTAGAATTCCAGAAACCCTAGAACCTTTCTTCATTTCGTTCTGTCTGTGTCCCCTTCGGTCTAATTTGGCATCAGTTTGCTTTATCATGTGATTATCCAGCCATATACTTGGTATTTTCTCCAGGACATACTTCTCTCATTTTATTGTTGCAATATTAGGCTGAGAATTTTTCACATCTTTAAATTCTGGTTTCATTTTAATTAACAATTACTTTTTCAATTTATCTTTCAGTATCTCTCATATATTACTATACATGTCAAGGACAAACTAAGCTATAACATCAACACTTTAATTATGGACTATACATGTTTTCATCATTCACAAGTCCTACCTTCCAAAAAAAAATTAAAAACCATTAGAACACAATTCATTCAAGTTCTTTGCCACTGTATAGTCATGATTGCCCTTTTTCCACTCCAAATTCCCATCTGAAGCTTCACCAGAAGGACTTTTAAAGTCTACATGTATTTCTACCAATAGTCTTGTAAAGGTTCTTCCTCACATGCATCTTAAAACTCTTTCTACCTCTACGTACTATCCAGTTTCAAACCTGTTTCCACATTTTCAAGATCCTTGCCACAGTGCCACCCCACCTCTTGGCATCAAAATCTCAGTTAGTTAGGGTTCTTCCCTAGAGAACCGGAGAATTTGCAAAGAATTTTAAAGAATTAGCTCATGTGGTAGTGGGAGTACAAATCCAAAATTTCCAGGTAAGCTGTCCGGCTGGAGACCCAGAGAAGAGTTGTGGTTTGAGTGCAAAAGAAGCCTGCTGGGAGAACTTCATCTTGCGCCAGGGAGAGCAGACTTTGTTCTGTTTAAGTCCTTAAACTGATGGGGTGCGTTCCACCCACATTGTGGAAGATACCGTGCTTCACTCACAGTCCACCACTTGAAATGTTCTCATAGAAAAAGCACATCACAGAACTTCCAGAGTAATCTTTGAACAAATACCTACGCAGTGTCACTTCACAAAGTTGACACATAATATTAACCGTCATAGTCCTTAATGCACTGTTCCTCTCTTTCCTTTTTAGGTCCCTCTGAAATCAATCAGACATGTCAGCTTTCAAGATGAGGATGAGATTGTCAGAATAAATCCTCGAGATATCTTAATACGTCGGTATGCAGACTACAGGCATCCTGACATGTGGAAAAATGACTTGGAGAGAGATGATGCTGACTCCAGTATTCACTTTTCTAAACCAGACAGTAAAAAATCAGACTATCTCTACTCTTATGGAGACGAGACTAAGTTAAGTTCACTCAGAGACTCTGTGGTGTTTAAGACACAGCCTTCCTCATTAAAAGTTAAGAAGTCAAAACGAAGAAAAGAGGATGGTGAACGTTCTCGCTGCGTATACTGCCAGGAAAGGTTTAATCATGAAGAAAATGGCAGGGGGAAATGTCAGGATGCTCCAGATCCTATTAAAAGATGTATATATCAAGTTAGTTGCATGCTCTGTGCAGAGAGCATGTTGTATCATTGTATGTCAGACTCAGAGGGAGATTTTTCTGATCCCTGTTCGTGTGACACTAGCGATGACAAGTTCTGCTTAAGATGGTTAGCCCTGGTGGCTTTGTCTTTCATTGTCCCATGCATGTGCTGCTACGTCCCCTTGAGAATGTGCCATCGCTGTGGTGAGGCCTGCGGGTGCTGTGGTGGGAAACATAAAGCTGCTGGATGAAGGGATCCAGTGCCAAAATGAGCTTAAAGTCTTTGTTTCCAGGAATTAGCTAACTTGGATTTGTGGAAGCTTTTGGCAAGCAGTGTGGAACCTTGCCTGGTGTCATTGGGGCCACACATGGAGGAAGCGGAACTTGTCAGTTCTTGGCATTTCACGTGCTAGCCATGCTTAACTTTTTCCCTTGAGTGCATGGCATGTTATGTTACAGGTTGTAGAGTATTTGCAGAAGGAAATCATTTCTGGTTCTTGACTATAAAAAGTCAGAATAAAATATGATCTGACTACAAGGGATCAATTTTTGGCATTTTTGTATATTTATGCATTAGGTGATGGGACTTATAAAGGTTTGATTATATTAGGACATGAACTAAGAATAAAAGTGCACTAGGGGACAGTTTATTTCAATCTAAGAAAAGTTAACACTTGGGAATTACAAGCAGTAAAGAAGTGCAACTAAATCATTAGTTGGTTTTTGAAAGCAGTTTTATGTATAAATAACAAATGTTTATATTTAACTAAATGTAAGGTACGAATTATTACATATTAAACTTTTCTTGCCCTTCCTAGTTCGGAAGTAGATATATATATCTGCTGTCACATTCCATATGTTTTGAATATTTAACTCACATCTAATTAATAATGTTTTTATTCCATGTGAATGATTTGATATTTTCATCCTCATTTCTTTTTGGCTACAGTTTATATTGAGTTATATGTGTACATTCTGGTAATCTAAATTCTTTAAAATACTCTAATATTCTTGAGTGACCAACTTTTTTTTAAAGCACAGGTGTAATTGTCTAATGTTCTGATGGGAACATAACACTTATTTTTATATAAAAAGAGACTGAGTAAACATAGAAAAAAGTGAAGTTTTTTGTAGTTGTTTTGTTTTTTGTGGTATTCAACCAGCAAGTTGTTTTCTTTCAGAGTTTCCTCCTTTAAAAATTATATTGCATTTACAAATGATTTATAAGGCAAAAAGTTTAACTGGATAGTTAATGTAAAACAGTTCCCTCTTGAGGTCTCCCATTTATCATTCCGCTAAACTAGAATATGTTCAGCTGTGTTACTAATCTTTTAGCTTAATCCTCAGTGTTTTTTCACAGAACAATGATAGCTCTTTTTAGTTGCATTTTATTTTTATTTAAACCTGCCAAAAGGAAAATTATTTTATGTTAAAATGTGTGCTAAACTATCCGAGGAAAGCATTTAATCCAACATTTGTGAATGAAATATCTTGTAAATACAAATTTATTCCTTTTGCAGAGCATTGTGTTACTGGGTGTTTAATTTACAAAGTAATAGGATACATGTTCCAACAAATTGTTTAAAGTACTTTGGGGTCAAATTGTCTTTTCTTTTTCTTCTTCTTTTGTGTTAACATAAAAACTAACCAAGTGAGGGAGTCTTTTAAAAACATTCCCTTAGTGGGATAAAGTTGAGAAGCGTGCCTTTTTTTTTTTAATGGCTTGATGTTTCAGAGATGATAAAAATTAAAGTCACTACCATTTGAGCTCATTTTCTATGCAGGTTTTTAAATGTCATTTATGTATCATTCGTTTTACATATCAGACTTAAGCTTATTATGTTTGCTTTCTTTTGCCCCAGATAAAACTGAACAATGTATATAACACTATCTGTCTGTAAAATACTTTTTTTAAGAAAGCATTTATATTTATATGACAGCTTGAACTGACAATTGTATATAGATCATCATGAAGTATTATTTCACATTGAAAAGAAGAAAAATATATTGATAACTATAGATGTTATGAAGAAGAGGTTATTTCTAGTTTTGTACTAAAAATCAATTGAACTAAATCCAAAACATGACACTGTAGCAGCAGTTTTAAGTCTTATTTTTACTGTTTATATTTTTGAATGCTGCTACACCAGGTGATCTTTATCCCTGAAGTTTTCAGTAAACTTGGTTTCCTAAAATAGACTGTTAACTTTCAAAATTCCTTTTTATTGGTGAAATGGAAATACTGGTTTCCTTGTGAATGGATTTTCATATTTGTAAGTGCTAAGATTATAATTCAGGTTTGAGCAAGGTGTGGATAACTGAAGAAAATAACTTGCTGGCTATATAGGAAAATGCTGTGGAAAAGAACTGTGTATGTACTTCTGAGAAGAACAAATTTAATCATTTCTGTTAAGCACTAACCAGTATAGTGCTACTCCTGGTTCTGTACTGTATTTTATATGCAACGTATATGCTTTAATATTTTAATGTTTGTGCATTAATATTTTCAATCTGTTTAACCACTTTGCTGCTAAGATTTTACTGTCCCATCCCCGTTTTTTTTTTCCTTTACAGTTTTAAACAAGTTTCTTCATTAAAAACTATGGTGATTAAATGGTTTTTATTTCACCTTGGAACTTATCAATTAACATACCCAATTTCCAGATTGGGTCTAGAAAACTGATAATGTTACCTGAGTCGGTAGTTGGAAATTTTCTCTTATGTAAGTGAGAATTTCTGTGTGAAAATGAGATAATTTAACTCTGATTATCAAATATAAGTATAAACATAACGGGACATTTCCTTGCTCTGTACAGATGTGGCATTGCCATTTGGCATTTCTTCGAAAACTTTTGTTTAATCTGATTGTATAAGCAAATGGCTCAACAAAACTGTTAAAGTAAATTTTAAAAATGAAGTCATCTAAGTGGCATAATAAGAAAAAATTTGACCTGATGAACTGACTTTGTTCAGAATTGATAGTTTTCAAATGGTGTTTCTCCTAGCTTAGAATAATTTCATTGCTGAGGAAATGTATATCTGGAGCTTCAGCACCACCTACTGGATGATTTCCAGACAGACAAAAGAGGTGGATCCTGGGGTCCCACACAGTTCCTTCTTACTACTAGTAAAGGGCTATTCACGAGGCCACCTCCTACCATGGACACCAGGAGTAAGAAATATCTCACAGGAACTGTAAAATGATTCTTTTCTGTAATGTGTTTTGTTGGTTACTGAAAGATTTTAAGCACTTTTTTACATACCCTCTTTTAAAATATTTATTGATATTTGGGACTGGCAGTCCTACTTAATGGATGTGCTGACATTTATAGAACCAGTTCCTTTAACTCACAATAGCCATTACCAAAATGGTATTTTCATTTTTCCTCCAATTGCCAGGCAGGGAGAATTCTAAAAATAACCTAATGGCCTGTATTTTACCGTGACAACTTTAGAGGGACTGTGTGTATGTTTCAGAGAAGATGATGATGAGGCAGGGATTCAAATTTAAAGGGAAAATCTTGAGACTACCTATTTTCATTGGTTATTCAGCAGTGCCTAAAATGAGCTTTTGAAGTTTCACAAATGCACTTTCAACTCATGTGTATAGTGCCATCTGATATCTTGGATAAGTGTTGCTTTTCTTTTCCTTTTCGTCCTTTCCCCTTAATGAAGTGACAGATGTTTCTTACTACCCATGCAGATACTCAGAGTACAGGAAACATGTACTTTCCTTTCGATGGGAAATGTAAAGAATTTTAAGGATGTTTCTTTTGTTGAGGTTTACTTTAGGCTTTATGATTACACTTGGAACATAAAACCTGCAAATATGTGTTTAAGATTAGGTTTTTAATTGTAGCCCAAAGGTACATTAAACAAGTGTAACATTTTTCTTTATAAAACTGAAAATCTTAGTTACCTGAAAGAAATGGATTCCTCACTAAATATTATTTTCATTCTTGATTACCCTCCATTATTGCATTTCTAAGTATAAGGGAAAGCACTACAAACTTGCATTACATATTGTTGCACTAAGAAAAAGTCTACAAATCATGATTATAGCACTACAAGGTGTTTTGCATTGTCAGCATTTAAAAAAATTTTTTCTGAAAACAACTGGAGGTGATTTATGTAAACCAAAAAGAAATAAAAAACAAAAGGGCTTTAAGGTACTGTTCGCCTAGCAGCCAGGTGGTTATAAAACTTTGATATGCTTTGCTACACTGATAAATGTTAGCCATTGTTCCTGAAAGCTTCTTAAATTGCTTACATTGTTAGTTTTGAAAAATTACAAGATAATTTAGTTGAAAAGCCTTTGTATTAATGATACACATAGATTTTTGTGAACATTTCTCATGTGTAGTGTCATTTGCTTTCTCTTCTCTTGACCTTGAAAGTGCCTCACTTGTATATTATTTCCATTAAAAGCTTGACTGCATTCTTTCTAATGAGCAATGAAAAATTGTTTAATCCATGTCATAATGTATCTCCTCAGATATAGCTAACTAGCTTGTTACTTTTGAGTATATAATGTAAATATGCATATATAAGTTTGTAACTGTTTTTGTTACATCATACCCATGTAATTGGACATATCAGATGCTATCATAAGAATTTGTTTTGATGGTTTTTTTCGTCCCCTGGAATTACCTAATTAAACCTATCATGAAATGTAAAAGGACTTTTTCTTACTCTGTTAGAGCTATCAGATTATCAAATAAGAGAATTACCGGAAGAGAATGTAGTAAAAATAGAAGCTGGTGATAAAGTTTTTTTTGTTTTATTCTTTAAAGGTGTTTTTTAACCAAGTTCATATATCGTTCTAATATTCATCTTTGATTGCATCTACATACATGTATATATATTATTTTTTACTTTTTAGTCCATTACTTAATACATTATGTTTATTGGTTTGGTAACCCATTGCAGCTTAGTCTGGATTAACCACCTGGACTGTTACGTGGCAGATGTTTAACCTAGGATTACTATTATTGATTGTTCTTTGTATATGGTCTTAAGTTTATATGATGATCAAAAATAACCAATCTAAATGAAAAAATATTAGGACAGTACTCAAAAGTCAGTGTGTCTCAGCACCAGAGTAACTTTTGGATTAGGACATTATAGTGTGTTCATTTGAAAAATGAATCATCTCCACCCTTTTTATGAAATGTAGTCTTACCTGGTTATTTGCAGGTTTTCAGAAATTTGCTTTATATTCTTCATCAAGTTGCCACCCACAAATAAGTACAATAGTTACTACATTGGCAACTCTGAAACTAGGGTCCCTGCTTGGCCATCAATACAGTGTCATCCACACTGTTCCATAAAAGGAAAAATCAATGTTAATGAAAATTAGTCAATCCCTTTAAAAGTAACTGCTTGTTTAAGATTTGTAGTTTTAGGGAAATCTTTGAAGTGATGGTTTAAAACAGTACATGCATTTAAAAGTTCAGCAAAACGAAAACAGCAATGTTGAACTTCTTTGTCTATATTTGTTACATAATTTATACTTGGCCACTTTTAATCCTCAGATAACTTTGTAAGTATTATCTTCCTCATTTACTAAAAGAAAATTGAGGCTTCAAGAGATCAAAAACTATACTAATCTAAACCAGATTCTGGCTGCTGCTAAAGCCCATGCTTTTATTCCTTGTGTGGTTTTACCTATCACAGGGGTCAGCTGTACTCACAGAATAATCATCGAAGGGAAATTCTGTCAGTTTAAACTGGAAGAATTGTATAAGAAAACCATTGCTTACTGCCCACTCCCTACTGTTTCATTCCCAGACCCCTATCTGTTTGTCTGTTTACAGCATGGTGTGCTGTCCATGGTGTGATATGGGGAGATCCTTAAGAGCAGAATACAGATGTCATAGTGCTTCAGCTCATCAAGATTTGTCAGCTGTGGGTTGATCCAATAGAAAGCGCTCAAAACAGACATTTCATTTTGTGGTATTGTTTACTTTGCCTAATTGATAGCGTTTCCCTAGAGGGATTCTTTTTCACCCAAACAGAAGTGCCTCCCCTTGAGACAGTAGAACACAGCCTTTTCAAATGGTCTTTTATCTACTGTACTCACACACCCAGGTGGTGTCCTTTGTATGTCAGCTGTCCCAAAAAGCCTTTCCTTGGAACCAAAGTTGGCTTTATTATGAGGGCTAAACATGCCAGAATGCTAAGATTAGTGTTCCCTCTTCTTCAAACATAAAATCATTCTTGTAGTGAAATACAATGGACTGTTGACTTAGAAACTTGATTGGTTCCCGGGGGCTGGTTGTAACTCAAGTTGATTGTAAGTCAATTCAGCTGAGATCTGGACGTTTACCTGGGTATACGCTATAGATAACAAGAGGCAGGTGAATCTTTAAGCTATTTAACTCAAGTTTGTATGTCAGGCCAGTCGTACCTTAAGGGTCCACTATACTGTAATTTGTAACAACCAAGAGCCTATGAACAATTAGGAAGTAAGGACAGGGAAAATTCCAGAATATCCAATAGTGAAGCAATTGAGATCATTATCTCTAGACAATAAAATTTAAGAATTCAATTTCCATTGCTTCTTGATTTTCCATTGCCATATTACAAGGTGTCAATTTAGATGTTTAATTTTTATTTTTAAAATGAGTTATGTTGCAGATCTTAGATTTTACTTGTCAAGTGCCTTTTTCCATATTCTCTCCTTTTTCCTGTTACAGGAATAATGACTCTTCAACTTCTCCAAGTTTATCAGGAAGAATTTATGGAAAAGGAATTTCCACTATATATATATATATATATATATATATATATATATATATATAACATTTTTTTCATCAATAGGGAAGCCAGTGTTTGTCTTAAAATTTAAAAGACTTGTGTGAATTCACCAGCTTCCAGTTGGTTAATAGTTATTGTTAAAGTATCCAAATAAAATGCTGATAGGCAGCATGATACTCCAGAGTTATGAGGAGAAAATGAGGATAAAACCAAATTACTTAACTGACTGATAAGGTTGTTGGATTTACTGAATTTTTAGAGTTGGGAGGCCCCTAAGAGATTATCTACAGCAGAACTCTATTATAAAAGTGTAGTCACTGAAATCCAAGAAACGGAGGTGTAGTGCAGGGCTATAACAACCTGCACTGGACCCATGCACCCAGATGTCTGTGTATCTTGCAGGCACCTCTAATCCAGTATGCCCAAAACTTCTCAAATCATTTTTTCTTTTCCACTGTCATGGATGTTAATAGCACTGCCCTAATTGCTCTGGTTATAAACCTGATTGCCATCCTTAATTTCTCATTTTTACCTTTTCACCCTTGATTCTCAGTTTCCTACAGTCTTTCCATTGTCCTGGGTTTTGTCAGTATCTGAGAAGTCCGAACACTACTGACCTTGAGAACTAAGCAGTCAGTGAATCATTTGGATGTCTTTATTAACAAGACAGGGTTTGTATTTTAAATGTGAATGGGATGTGGAAGTACTTTACACAGCATGTAAAAATTTGTGGTCTTCAGACTGAGATATTTCTGGATTTTAACAAAACTTTAAAATACATTGGTGGGATGGTGGAATCAAATGATGGTGACTGGAAACCAACTAGGAAACAGTAAATGAAACAAGAATACGAGTTTACAGAAAGGATAAACTTTTACTTATGTTCACCTTTCCTCAAACTCATTTTTTCTAAGTAACTTAAGCTTGTTATCTGTTAATTGTGGCTTTCTGAGAACTTAGGGGGAAAGAATATATTACTGGGAACCTTTAGGATGTTACTGATAGTGTTCTAAGTAAATCAGTAGCTCCACAGTCAGGTGAGCTGATTTTAAAGTTTTTCTTTGCTTTTTCACAATGCATAGCTAAAGCAATAGCAAAGGTAGCCCACCTGGTGTCCCCTTTTTAGGGTCAGATCTGCAAGAGGGGGTGACGACTTAAAGGATGTAGGGAAGGTACAGTATTGATACAGCGCTCAAGGAAAGCCATGCACAAAAGTGAGAAAAGAACTGCAGTGGTTAAAAAATGCAGAAAGATTTGAATGAAAAGGAGCTTGGCTTATTGAAAGAACAGTAAGGCTAATAAACAGCTCAAAGCAGAGGGCAAACAGACGTAGCAAGTGCTAGATCTTACAGGAATTTGCGGGCCATGGCAAGGAATTCAGATTTTATTCTCAGTGTGATAGAAGCTGGAAGTTTCTCAACAAAGTTCAGATAGCTATATAGCCATTTTTAAAAAATCAAACCCCAATTGTTGGGCTAGTGTTGCATTACTATTAGCCTGAGGCTTTGTCCTAGTCTACTTAAATAACTCAAAATCTACCTCCAGAGTTTTGTGTTTTGTTTTGAGATACTGTAGTAGGGATTGAACCCAGGACCTTTGCACTGAGCTACACCAGTCATATGCATGTATGAATGTGTGTGTGTATGTATGTATTTAAATTTTGCCCAGGTGGGACTCAAACCTAGGCTTCTGCCTTTGCCTCCCAAAGTGCTAGGATTACAGCTGTGCACCGCCACACCTGGCTTCCCTCCACTTTCAAAATCTGGTGGATGTTTTTTAAACCTCTGAGCAGCTTTTGACATATTATTCACTAGGCCTCCCAGGTAGTAAATTGTCTTGCTTTCCTATTTCAGTGGTTGAACAACCTAATGGCTCCTTGTTTCCAGTCTCTACGAAGTAGAATTCCTGGGGGTGTAGTAATCAATTTTATAGCCATACGTCCCTCTTAGAAGCAGAGTATTATCATAGCCAAATATCAGATGTTTGTGTTGCCCACTTTTGTTTTTTCTGTTTTGTTTTGTTTTGGTACCAGGGATCGAACTTGGGTCCTTGTGCTTACAAGGCAAGCGACAGAACCACTGAGCTAAATCCCCTGCCCAAAATCCTATTTGTATTTCTTTTGTTTTTTTGTTTTTTGTGGTTAACATTGTTATTTTTATTTTTTTTAGTACCGGGGATCCAACTTGGGTCCTTGTGCTTGCGCAGCAGGCAGTGAAACCACTGAGCTAAATCCCCAGCCCTGTGTTGCCCACTTTTAGATCATGACATCTCCACTTGAATGTCTCCTAGGCATTTCAGTTTTGAAGGCCAGAACAGAACACCAATCCTGCTTCACCTCCAGTCTGCCTCATTTTAAGAAATGATTGTAATTTACTCAGTTACTGAAGAGTTAGTCTTTTTGCCTCATATTTCAAATCCAGACGACCTGCAAGAGTCCCCACAAAAATAGATTTTAAATATGAAGAGCTTGCCATATGCATTGCCATGGGTACAAGATTCAAGGATTTCTTGCCTACACTTCTGTGACAGCTTCCTGCTTCCACTGTTTTACCCCTAGAGCTTTTATTCTTAGAATGATTCATTACCTTATGTTCACTGCATATTTTCTTTTCTTGTTATCATACTTAGGGTTAATTATTGCTTCTCTTAATATGACAGTTATTTCCTTTATCCTATTCATTTCCTTTCGACTTGAACTTGTGCACATGCAATGAAGAAAGAGAACCTAACATTTATTGGATGCCTGTTAGGTGCCTAGCACTGAGTTGGACATTACACACTTGTATTTAATTAATAACTTTGTGAAGTAGGCATCATTACTTCCATTTCACAGATGAGGAGGCTGAATATACCAAAATTGAACAACTAGATTCTTAAAATAGGGGAGCTGGAATTCAAATCCTGTCTTTCTGATTGATTCTTGGCTTTCATTCTTCCTCTGTGGTTTGTGTCTTCTCTGGACTCTCAAGTCCCTGATCACCTCTGCTTTTATTTCCGTGCTCAATCTGCATTACATTGTTCTTCACGCCACTACATCCCAACACATTTTTTTCCTTCAAATTCTTGCTAGGGTATTTAATCTGAATTTTCTCCCATACTCAAGGGACTGTCTTATAATGACACTCAAGTAATGCTAGATTTTAAAAGAACAATCTGGGATTACCTTCATGACTCCCATCAATATAAATGCCACAAAAAGCTGTTACATTTGCTTCGAAGTGTAAATGACCAGAAGGTTGGCCCGGTGAGCCTCTAATGTGCTTCTACTATGCTGTATATTCTAACCAAGAGGTCTGCATTGGTGGTGTGGCATTAAGACTATTGTGCTTAGTAAATGTGGTCGCCTGCCCATTGCTTCCTGTAGTTTGATCTGCAATTGATTAGAATAATCTCTCACCCCTGGTAAACCTGTGCTGTGTATATGCTGAGCAGCATCCTCAATCCCGTCAGCGCTGCTTCTGATGACACAGGTTTCACCTATGTGTATCCTAAGGAATATTTCCTCGGGAGCATTTGCAAAGCTTTTTCTTTTACGTGAATCATGGTTTCCTTAGGTTTTTAGTTTTCTCCACTTGATTTTTAATAAGAACAAACAATACATGATCATGTTTTTACCGGGAATAAATTAGTAGGTTATCTAATTTTTAAACTTCTATGTGTCTCCCAAGAAGTCATTTAGTTCCAAAAATTAGAAAATGGAATCAAAATCAAGAATTCGAAAAATGGTTTCAGGCATGGTGACACATGCACTCAGGAGGCCGAGGCAGGAGGATAGCCACAAGTCCAAGGCCAGCTTGGACTACATAATGAGACCCTCTCTCTCAAAAAAAGAACACCCTTAGACCACTAAATATCCACCATCAAGAAACAGTCTGAGAAATCAGTGCAGCTGCATCGTTCACATAGATCCTAAATACAATCACATGTTCTTAGAGGTAGAACACACGTATGAGAAAGCACTGTGAGAACAGTGCCATTAAGGTGCTGGCCTTGAAGCTGGGAGGGATGTAGATACGGCTACAAGCCAAGGGAAGCTAGTGGCCACCAGAAGCTGGAACGAACAGAGGACAGACTCTTCCCCCAGTTAGCCCCTCCAGAGGAAACAGCCTTACTGACACCTTTCTACCCAGTGATTAGCATAAAAAACTGGCACCTCCAGAACTGTGGTAATGTAGATCTGTGATTTGTGAAGAGGAGCCACAGAAAACGTCTCCCAAGAAGGCAGAACATTAGGCCACAGAGAATATTGAACAAGAGACTTCAGGGACTAGAAAGTTTTCTTTCCCACTTTTAGGGTAGGAAACCAACCTGGTGTTCCCGGAGTCAGATTTTAGAATTGCTATGGACAACTGACGGCTTTACATCTACTATTCTTACACCTTTCAAATGAGAATGTTTACTGTAGTTAACTGTTCTTGCTTCATTGTGTATTGGCTGTGTTGGAGGAAAGGCAAGTAATTTGATTCCTGGCTCAGAAATCTACGGAGAAGAACTGCACTCAAAGAGAAAAATATGGAGTTGAAAACGTCATGTATAGTATTAAACTGCTAAGGCAGACTAGACTCTTCAGGGCTATTGTGATAGGCATAGGGACTGTAGCAATGGGGGTTTTGCAGTACGGAAGAGAGATTAGCCTAAATTGTGAAGACAGCAAGGACAAGAAGACATTATAGCCAAGGAATAGGGTGGGGGCCAGTGGATGTGAAATTACTAAGAGGAAACATGAGGGCTAAGGGGGATTCTGTTTAAAACACTTTGACAAGATACTTGCCAAAAGCAGCCCACAGTGAGAAGATAACAAAGGTGGGAGGTGAGGATTGGATAGGGTACCAAGGATAGGAGATTCTCCCGAAACTAACCTAGCAGGATTCTTGCTAAAACTAGAGTATGCAGACGGGGGGCAGAGCCCAGAGGGGCTCGAAGGAGCCTGGCTCCAGTCAATGTCAGCAGGTAGACAAGATCAAAGGAATAATTAATGCCTCGATTAAGGCAGAGATGCTCAGTGCTTTTCCAGTAACCATGGGGTTCTGCATCTCTTCAAGTTTACCCTAGGGACAGGCGGAGGCCACATGCATATTTCTAGCCAACATAATTTTAAAAGTGTCACATTAGGGGCAGAGCAGTGAAGAAGCAGTGCACCTCATCTCTGTTGCCTGGCTGCAGGATCTTTGTCATCAGAGGTAGCTGGAATAGCTACAAGATGGAGAAGGACAGGCTGAACTAACCTGACTTTGCCCGAATAAGAAACACTCACTGCATCAAGCATGTGATAATTTGGGAGTTGGTTGTTTTTGTTTTAGCAACGTAATCTCGCCCTATCCTAATATAAATTATAAGCATTTTGCTAAATTATTTTAAAACGCTGATCTGGCATGTGAAAGCACATTAGTGAATCTCTTTCTTTGTACAACATGTATTAATATACTACTTATCTGACCCCATCCATACTAAATGAATTCTAATTCTAAACTTCAACAAGGAGATGTCTGAAAAAGCGGGAGTTTGCTGGCTGTCTTACAATGTTTATCTGACTTTGTCCCTGAGTACAAGAAAGGAAAGGGAGGCTGGGAATTTAGCTCAGTGGTTTCGCCGCCTGCTGCGCAAGCGCAAGGACCCGAGTTCGATCCCTGGTACCAAACCAAAAAAAAAAAAGGAAAGGGAAAATAAAAGCTGACGATTTCTCAATTCACTGCCACATCCCCAGTCAGTGCCAGGGATAAACTAAGGTAATCAGTCCTTATGTTATGAAGATTCATGTGTCATACCAGTAAGTTTAAACTTCGTCTTAAAGATTATAAAAATCCATGGTGTAAAGTGCAATGGTGTCTTAATCATATTTGCATTCTTGAGTAGCTATTAAATTACTCAACATATATTGATCAGGGGCCTAGGGATTCCAGAGTAAGCAAGATAAATTTCCTGCTTTAATGGGATTCTACATTATATATATGGGAGGGGACGAAGGTTTTCAACAAACTTAAATTGGAGAATTAAAAAGTTTATACAGATAATTAATGTTTAGAAAGATTATACTTCCCTGAGGTCATGCCAATAGATGAGGCTATAGACAAGGTCTGGGAAACGGGCTGAGATGAAGCGATGCAAATGTATCTGAGTGTAAGATTAACGTACTCCGTTCCTCCACCACAAGCACGGATGAAGCCCTGCACTGAGATGACTGTGGAGAGCGGTGTTAGCCATAGAGGCTCCATGTTTAATCTTACCCTCCAGTGTATAGAGCAAGGAGACTGTTATGAGCAACCGCGTCCTTGCCGAATTAGATTGCCCTGGACCGTGATGAACGTTCTGTAAGCCCGAGAAACAAGAAGGCCCGTGAGGGCGGGGAATTTCCAAAGAACTAGTAAACAAGGAAGCAGGTGTTTTTGATAAAAGTCATGATTAATGACCTAACTCACAGAGTGTATAAAAGAGAGGTGAAAATAAACTTGGGTGCTCGGTCTTGGGAGCCCTCCCGACTCTGTCTCTTTGTCTTATTTTCTCAGTCCTCCTTTACCCCATTCAGGAACCTTTCGACTGGTGGCGGCTGGTCCGCCACAGATGACGAGACCGCAAGACGGAGCCCACCTGGATTCCTGTGGCCCTCGTGGATGACAGTTGCTCTACAGAGCTCCCTGGCCCCAGGAAATTGTTCTTGGGATTCAGGGATTGTGTATAACAGTGGCATGACCTACCCTATCCCATCTTAATTTAGGGCATTGGCTGGGAACAAGATTTATGGGTTGCAAGAAAAGAGAAAACCAGAACAGGAGCCAAGTGATCGTGAGAAAGAAGCCAGATCCTGCAGACTTTGTAAATCAAGGTAAGAAGTTTCAATTTTATTCTAAGTATGAGAGAAAATAATTGAAGGATTTTACATGGTGGTAGCATTGGGTAATTTACAATTCTAAAATATTAATCTGGCAACTAAAATTTGAAAATTTAGTCTGGCTGAAAAATTTAAGGTTATGTAAACCAGAACAATAACATCGAATTTCAAAACAAGTAAAATGCAACCAAAGCTGTATTTAGAAAGAAATTTGTAGCTTGATATTTTAATATCAAAAGAGAAGTCTTAAAATTAATGAGCTATTAAAAAGCCAAACATAAAAAGTAAGGAAAAGAGTAGTTTAATAAATCAAATAAAGGAAGGAAATAATATGATTAGAATTTAATAAACTAGAAAATCTTTAGATCAACAGAGCGAAGAGGTGATTTTGAAAAGACTAATAAATGGGGTAAATCTCTGGCAAGACTGACCAAATGCTTGAGTTCGATCCCCGCTACCAAAAAAAAAAAAAAAAAAAAAAAATTGACCAAATAACCAAGAGAAAAGTAAACAAAATCAGAGTTTTATAAACAGCCAAAATGTGTTTCAAAAGCAAAGGTGAAATAAAGACTTATTCAGATATGCAAAAGCTGAAAGGATCCATTACTATTAGACCTAGGTTGCAATAAATATGAAAAGTCTTCCAGCAAAGTGCAATGATATCACATAGAAATCTGGATCTAAACAAAGGTGTGAATGAGCGTTGGAGATGGTAAATAAATCCCTTGTCCATATTCAATTTAAAAACAGTGTAGAATGGTTTATAAAACATATAAGAAATATATGACTACAATAGCACCAAGGCTAAGAGGAAGAAATGGAATTATTAGGTTCTTAGCTCGATGTGAACCTTTATGATATCATTTGAAGACAGATTGATTTACTATAAACTCTAAAATAACCTGTAATATAGAAACAACTGTAGCACATAAAACATTTCCCTGTCCACAAAGGAGATAGGCTTTTATATTATTAGACTAGGAACTCTCAGTTCTTTGCATAGGACCTAACTTGACATGAAGAAACCAAAATAACCAAAAAACTCATTAAGGTGTTTTCTGGAAAAAAAAGATGCCACTCCTGGTGCTTGGCTGTCAGCAGGACAAGCCAGACAGTGTCTCAAATGACAGCTTTTTAGGCAGGGCTTCCACCCCCACTGTCTCAGGGAGATTAATGAGGAAGAGGTCAATAGAAAAATGTTGCTTCCAGTTCAGAGTGCCCTTCCATGTACACATCAAACCTTCTCTAAAAAATATACTATTCCTCAGACAGGGAGCAAATGTTTTTTGAATATTGTTTATTATTCAGCACCGCTGAAGTGGCATCTCTGCTTAGAAGTTCATTCAATATTTGCTCAGTAAATGAATGATAGGCTACAGGCTATTCAAAGCCATGTGGAAACAGGAGTACAAATGAATCACAGAGTTGGGAGCCCCTCCCCCAACCCACCCACCTACACCGCATTCCCAGCCCACCACACTTAGAAATTCATCTGCTTGGAACACGTCACGGGATCCGGCTGCTTTTTCCCTGCTTCTAATTGAGCTTCATTGTAACACGATGATGCTTCTGTCATTTTTATTCTGGCCTCAAATTCATGATCACCTGTACACACATTGAAGTCACTTGTTCATCTAATGTGCTACCTATTCTGCCTTTTGTGGGCCAAGAAACTCTCATTCCCCACTCCCAGCATTAGATAAAATGCACATTCATTATTTCAATTTATTTATCCAGTCTTAGAGTCCTTACTCTGAAAAAATTATGAACAGAATTTGAAAGGACTAAAGAGGTAGAGAAAAATGCAGTTCAGCAACTTTCAGTCTCTTCTAAAGATCTTGAGTTCAATGTGTCCTCTATAGAAACTTATTTTCTTTCTCAGTAAGTAGCATACAGTGATGTTTGCAAATACTAATTCATAGAGTTCAATTTGTTGGTCTCTTTCTCCTTTTGGTAAATGACTATGGATTTTAAATACCAATTATACCAGCACTGTGTTAGAAAAATCTCTAATAAGCAATATTAGCCACCTCGTATTTAAATAACGTACGATTTCACAAATACTTCTATAGTAGTTCTTGTATAAATCAATGGCCTAAGAGGAGAGGGCAGAAAGTCTCCTCCCCGCTGCAGATGTTCCAAGCCTTCCTCTCTACCCATAACTTTGGATACAGTGTGGAGGGGCAGGTTGGGGTTAGGGGATGAGAAGATCAAGTAAAGAAAAGATGGAAGGGGGTCGGGCTGTTCTCCAACCTTCCTTCCTTGGTCCCTCATTTCTAGCTACCCCTGGAATGCTGGGGCCCCAAAGATTCCATCCTAGGATCTTGCTTCCCACTCACTGCACCCTTCTGGGGCAATCACATTGGCTTTGAGGGTGTCAGTCTCCAACCAAATGCAGGTGATCCTCACCTCTAACAGTTCTGGCCCAGGTGTTTCCCACGCGTGTAAGACCTGTTTGCAGTTGTCCGTGGATATGCCCAGCTTGCTCTCTATCCAGGAAAACAGGAGTTGAAAGAACAGCCTGTGGATTAAGTCTGGCCTGTTACCTGTTTTTAGCCTTGAGCTAAGAACGGTTTTATACAGTTAAGTGATTGAAAACAAAATAGACAGACTATTCCATGATGTGAAATTCACATTCCATTGTCCATGAACTCCCTGTCCTTGGAACACAGCTGTACTTTCTTCTGTTGACTTTCTCTCTTCTGTGCTTCCATGGCAGAGTTGAGTAGTTGTGAGTGTCTGTGGGAGTCCATGGAGCCCACAAAGCCTGAAACACTTAGGAGCTGGGCTTTTATGGAAAAAGTCTGTCCCTGCTCTAGAACACCCTGGAAGGGATGCGTCGTCATTTTGAAGGCTAGACCATACAAGATGAGGCAACTTCCGCCTTGTGTCTTCCAAGCCTTCAGCCATCACAGAAACAGTGAGTGCCCAGGGGCCACTGTGTTGTAAGGATGTTCAATCAGCTGACATAGAGAGACCCAAGACTCCCCCAGAGAGAGCTACCCTGGCCCCAGACACCTCAACCCCACTGCAAGCTCAGTACAAATTTACAAGGGGCAATTGAAACATTGGATGAGTGTTTACATTTTTTTTAAAAAAACAACTTATTACAGTAAAATACATATTGCCAAGAACAATGGGATAAGTGTTTTAGAAGAGGAGGTATCTTTACTATTTTGAGGAGGACTTTTGGCATATGTCTTTTACTATAGTGTATTTTTAATGTAAATATTCATTGTATTTTATGATCATCCCATACTAATCAACTGTTTATGATAATTTATGTCAAACAGAAATATTATGGTGTATCTTCATGTACTTTAGTCACTAGATCTGGTACTGGGTGACTTCTGGCTCCTCCCTAAAATCAAAATGACCATGAAAGGTAAACATTTTGTAATCGATTCGAAACATCGAGGCAGCCATTACAGCTCAACTAAAGACACTCACGAGAGAGGACATCCAGAACTGCTTCAGAAAGTGGCAAGGATGATGGGATCAGTGTTTGAAGGGAGAGGAAATGTTTTGAGTGGGATTAACAGAAATGTGTCTTTTACTGTAATAAAGTTTTAAAATGTAAACATTCATCTTTTTCAGTCACTCCTTGTAATTATAGAGTCCCAAGCCCAGCTGAGCCCTTCCTGAATTCCAGACCCACAAAAACCTCGAGCAATGATAAAATGATTGTTGTTGCTTTTTTTTTTTTTTGGTACCGGGGATCAAACTCGGGACCTTGGGCTTGCAAGGCAGGCACCGGAACCACTGAGCTAAATCCCTGGCCCTGTTGTTGTTGTTGCTTTAAGCTACTGTGTTTTCAAGGTGATTTGTTGGGCCACAAGTAGCTGGAGTGCTACCACTGCTCTTCATCTGAGCTAGGACAACAGCTGCTTCCTCCCCTCCCCGCAATCCATGTGCAGTACACTGTGTTGTCATTTCCACTTCTAGTCTTCTGTGTCCTCTGATGAAAGAATAATTTACATCCCCGTCCTCTTCTTGCCTTCCTGTAGGCAAAGTCACTTTCTTTTTCTCTTGTGTGACTTTACCATATGGCTTGCTTAAGCCATTAAAAATGGCAGTGGAGGCTGGGGATGTAGCTCAGTGGTTCCAGCACCTGCCTCGAAAGTGCAAGGTCCTGAATTCAATCCCTGGTACCCCAAAGAAAAAAAAAAAGGCAGTGGATGGGACTTTGAAGCAGCTGCATTATTGAGTGTTTCCTGGAAACCCCAAAGAAGAGCTGCTCCTCCATCCTAGGTTCCAGCCATGAGGTTGGCTGGCACTCAGTCCACCTGCCACCTAGAGTGCCTCAGAGCCACAGAGCAGATGGTGGACCTCAGATTCATTGCTGACTTGTGATATGCATGACAAATAACCTTTGTTGTTGCAGCCCACTGAGATTGTGAAGTTATTTGATCCTCAATGTGACAGTAGCAAAATGAGCTTATACTGTGTGCAAAGGCCTTGAGCATAAGTGGAATACATTGCTGTGGGTTACTTCCATTCTCATTTCTTTTTTTTTTCATGATACTGGGGATTGAACCTAGGGCCTATGTACAGAGCTACATCCCAGACCTTTTAAAAAATATTTGGAGACAGCGTCTTGTTAAATCACTAAGTTGCCCAGACTGGGCTCAAATTTGTGATCCCCCTGCCTCAGCCTCTCAGAGTGCTGGGTTTACAGATGTGTACACACTTTCATTCTTTGGTATGACCTAGAAGTGTCATCTGCTCTCTCATGTCCTGCCATCACCTGTCTGTGCAGTTCTGTGTCCTTGTACACGTTGCACACTATTCCCTCCACCCGGAATGCTCTTAGCTGCCTATCAAATTATAGGTGCTCTTCCACATGTTACTGAAATAATAAAGGTGTGTCCTTTACTTCCCAAGTGTCTCCTAGGACCTTCTCTGGGGTTTGTTTACCTGCCAGTGAGGACCTGTCTTTTTTTTTTTTTTTTTTTTTTTTTTTGTGAGGACCTGTCTTTATGTGGTGCTATTTG